CATCTGCGGCAACATCAGCTGACAGCTTTATTATCAAATTGCCATGAGCCAGCCATTTGGCTCAATTTACGTCATGGATCTTCTGCTGCATATCGGTAGTGCTCGAATATTTAGGAGTTGGGTTAGCTGACTGGAGTTTTTTTTTTTTATTTGTCATTGGGTATGGAGGAAGATGTCGGCGGGGGACCAGGCCAGTATATAAATCACTTTCGCCGCAAGTATCAATCTCTGACATGTGGCAAAAGTTGAACTGAAACTGAACCTTCGGCGAGCAGAAGAGCAAAAGAGAAAGATACGTTCGCACAATGGGAAGAAAGAAAAGAAAGGCAAAATGTCGTCGCCGTTGTCGTGTGACACTGAAATGCGGATACAATAAAAGTTTATTTTGTGTGTGAGTGTGTGTGTGTGTGTGTGTAGGTTTTCCCAACCCCCTTTCCATTTTTACTTTTTTTGTGTTTCGTTTTTTTTTCCGCTTGGCTCCTTTTTTGGTCCTTTTTTCATGGTTGACAAGACGCGAGGAGCAGCCAAAGTGCACCCCATGGAGCAATCACTCGATGCCAGGATGGTATGGTATCCTTGGTATCCTTGCCAGAGCAACAGTATTGGTTAGGGCAACACGGACGCCTCACACGCATTAACGGCAGCTGCTCCTTGCACACAGACACACTCGCACACATCCATAAAAGTTTATTAAATTTACAAGGAACTTTTATGCAGTTACTTTTTGACATGCTTCCTTGTTCACTTTCTTTTCATAAAATTGACAACGACAATGTAAATATACAAACATTTATATATATATATATATATATATATCTGTGAGTTTGTGCTGGTGCAAAGGATTTCAATTTAAATGAACTTGCAGATGAGCATTTTATTTTCTTACACATTCAATATTTTTGTTTTCAGGTCATATGGAAAATTACAAAGATCTGTAAAGTATAAATTTATATATATAAACTGAAAAAGGCTCAACGGACAAAATGGCATTGAAATATATAGCCAGCAACTTGTCATATGTCACATTTTGCGGCTGATTTTTGCGAATATTTACGTTGTTTATTTGCGGATTTTTTGTTCGTCTCAGACCTGAAAAGGGAGTCGAGACTGAAACTGAAACCGAATCTCTGAGGCCGTTATCTCGTCTCGTGTTCGATCCGCCAACACATCGTCATCAGCGCCGTTGGTGAAAGGAAGTTGACCTCTAAAGTTTAATGCATTTAAATAAATCTTAAAAAACAACAAAAAAAAAAAACAGCACATTAAGCGAGACAAAGCTGAAAGCGAAAACAACAAAGTCAACGGAAAAATCGAGGGGATGAAGTGGCGTTGAAGGGGAATGGTAGTAGGAGAGGGAGGGGGAGTAATGTAAATTAAAAAATTTTAATTTTTGCATTTTTTAGTCGGCGGCAATTAAATCGAGCGACGCGTGCAGCCTAGCCATAAAAATATTTGCCAAAAGCCGGTTGCTTCGATGACTCAGAACTGGTTCGAACCGAATTTTTTCGGAATTTAGTCTCAGATTAAGCTTATGTGGTGCATATATCAAGTTTTCAGAAAGGGTGCTTAAAGTTAAAGGCACTTCTATGTTACTTTCCTTTTTTCCCTGAATAAAAACCATAAAACCAACTAATAGTCTTAAAAATATGTAATTTAGATCATTAAAAATTGACCTCCAGCTGCAGGCCTGATAGTTAATATCCGTTTACTGTCCCGCCCCCCGATGAGTAATCTTAATCCGTATTCATTAAGATGTATCATTATATTAACCCTATTTCCCGCCTCTACAATCCAGATTGATTGAGTTTCCTCTGTCATGCTGACGCATACGCACACGATCGAGGTCTCAGCTCGACTATCTATTTCAACGGTGAAACGGAAAAAACCGAAAGTGATTTGCATTACAAAACTCAATTAGAGGCGTCAAATAGCCTTGTCCCAAAGACTCATATCCGCCCACTATATAGTATATATGTATATATAGATGCAAATCGAAAAACCCGCTTCGCTGGACCCATTGATCAAATTTTGATTGACAAGTCGAGTGGCTGGGCTGTCTTGGTCCATTTTTTTGGGTTATATTTTTCTTGCGCTCTATTAAGCAAATTCGTTTGGCATTTCATTGATCTTATTGTTGCCATCTGGCAGGCCATAATTGCATCATTAACGACAATTAACAGAGGGGCAGAAAGGCGGAGCTCGGACGCAAATCCAAATTGACAGGTCACCACAGAGAATATCGATGTTGGATGTGGGTGAATTTGGTTATTTATTGAAGATTTTTGTTGGACTTTTTATACTTTTTATATCTACTTTGAATAAAATCTACTTTTTAAATATTTTTATGTTTTACTACAATTTTAAATATTATTTAACATTTCCTAAAAAACCTACTAAAACCCAATTTTTGGTCCTGATTATAATATTTTACTCAATCTCACGCGGCCACCTCTATCCGTATTTCCTTCAATCAACTCCGCTCCAATATTCCTGTGGTTGCTATTGAAAATCGTCGTTAATTGTGCGCGAAAAATAACAGATATGTTTATAGGTTGAGACAGGCCAACGGATACAGCAACAGAACCGTTGTTCGATTATGAAATATGATACTTAAATTGTAATTCAAGCTCAGCTGCAGGTGTTTGTCTTTATTTTTTGCTTCTGTCATTTAAGATATTGAACTTTGGCTCTGATGTCGATCTCAAACGGAAGTGAAAACGAAAAAATATTTAAAGCTCCGATGCTCCCACTCGATAAACACAAGATAAACGACTGAGGTTTTCGCTTTTCATGTCTCTGTATCTTTATCTGTTTCCCAGAGAACACACAAGGTCGTTCAGCAGAAGCAGCAGCAGCAGCAGCAGCAGCAGCAGTAGTAGCAGCTTGGCAGTCAAATGTTGGCCAAAAGTTTTTCCTTTCGCAATTTGACATGTAACAGGAAGAAGCCTCAAATTGAAATTTAACAATTGGCTGTTGGTGTGTGTTTTTTTGGCTGTTTTCTGGTTGCCGACAATCTGACAGCCTCTTGAGTGGAATAATTCTCGGCTCGAGTGGCTGAAGGCCCTTCGCAAATATTCGGCTGCGTGAAAAGCGAATAAGAAGCTTCTTACGATTTCATTTCCACGTGCGATGACGGGAAAGTGTGGTATTTTATTTATGGTCTTTAGTAGAAGAACCAAGGAAAAACGAAAGCTAACAATTTGTTATATGAAAATTTGAAAAAAAAAATCTGAAAAACAAAGCTTTTATTATTTCGTATTCACATTAAGATTATAATATTGTTATTTATATTTTCACAACATTTATTACTAAAATTCCCACATTTAGCATTTTTTATTATTATCAAAAACCTATTAATGCCTTTGCTCTTGAACTCACATCGGGCTTTATCCCTGCCCATATTTGCCATTAATTTTGAAACTTATTTTCCATTGTTTGAGATGTAATTTTTTAAGCTCTCTCAACTCGCCGTTTAACAAACTAAACGAGGCAACTTTTTGGGATTCGTTTTTGCTGTGCAAACTGAAACGCTGTCATTAGTTAAAGCAAATATGTGAATGTAAAAAATAAACATAAACAATCGGCTACTGCTAATTTTTCATATACACATATTTGCATAAATTAAAATGTAATTATAATAGGGTGTTAAAAAAAAAGAGCAGGCCATGATTTATGCATGGAACGTAAAGACCGTAAGATTCAGAGGACAACAAACGAAACTGTCGCTTTCTATATACGAAATGCCTGTAAATATTCCCTTTTTTATGGGTTTTGTGTTTGCATTAATAATTGCTACAAATAAAATAAAGAGCTATTAAAAAAAATGACGTATGCGAAGGTATATCATAAATTTTACCAGAGAGCTTTTTTTTTTGTAGCGCTTGGCATTCGCTTTTTAATTTTCAATATTTAACTTTTAATTGTGGGCAATCAATTTTGAAAGAGCCCAGTCCCAGGCCGTGCTGTAAAATATATCAAAAAATAGTAATTTCAACATATATACAAATACTGGTATATATAAATATGATTTTTCATATGCGAGTACGAGTGCCGCGCCTCGGAATCATTTATCAAACCGAATATTTTCATCTGTCAAGCGCAAAAATTGTTATTGAACTGAACTCATTTTTAGAAAGTGAGTTTGAGTCGAAGTTGGTCCGCACTTTGGGGAGTCATCGATTATGACTTTGAACGTACGTCCGAGTATATTTACATATATGAACATATATCTACGATATCTTTGTGTATACTGTCTACTGGCTACTGTGCAAAATTGACTATTCACCGAATTGAAATTTCAAGAACGCTCTCAAAGTGCCACACACAAAAAAAGCTCTTACAGTTTTTTCTCCCCTCCCCCACTGTGATTTGATTTGTTTATTTATATTTTAAACATTTTTGTTTGCCTGACTCTGAACTTTTTTGCCCCATCATGGCCAATCCAAGATGTGAAGTGAATATTTTTTAATTTATGCCTGGTCATGGCCCCACGCACAGTTGCCACCATTTTACTTTCATTTCTAATTATGATAATGTTTCGCAAGTGATCGAGATTTCTCATAAATCTGTAAGATTTGGTTATTTTTTGGTTATTTATCAAGAGAAAGTACGGGTACTTTAGGTTTAGAAACATATTTAATTCGCTGTAAATAATTTTGATGACCTCGAAATCCGCTAACTGATGTCTCTGACATCAAAATTAGTTGCTCGACTTGTAGAACATTGAAAGCGATTCATTTAGCTGTTAGCTGTGAGGCTAACTCAGTCTTTTCTTTTCTTCGCTCGTTTTTTACTATGCGAAAAGTTCAAACTACTTAAGACAATTATTTCCGGCACTTTTTCTTTGGCTTTGCCATAAAAAGTGGCACAGAATTGTTGTGTTGTTTGCCGTATTCCTGTTCTAGCAATTTGCCTGTCGCTTTAACTCGAACTCGAACGAACTGAAACTGAACTCGAATTTCACAGCAAATCGCTGTATAATTCCAATTATAAACAATTACCTGGAGTGAACCTAAGACGCCCCGAGTCAAAGTTGTACTTATTTTTATTTTTTCTCGTTCTGTTTCTGTCCTACTAACCTGAAACGAAAAAAAGAGAGAAATTGTTTGAGTTAACTTAACTTTTTAGCACTGATATGCGAAAAATCAGCAAGAGTTTCGTTTATTTTTTCGGGGTGGCAAATGCAGAGTGTGTGACTCACTGGGCGTATGAGCGATTTCGGATCAATCCGGTTCAATGACACCCAAGTGGGACACTCCACTCGGCACCGAGTGCAGTCAGCATTAAATGTTAATATATTAATGATTTGCAATCGCCGCCGACCAGACTTTTCTCGGCCCGCATTGTGGACATTGGCCAACTTAGGCGACAATTGGCCGCTTTTAATTGCCAAGTCGAGTTGCCGCGATTCCAAACCATTCCCATCCGGTTCGCGACACCCTAATGCGGCGGCAGATCTCGGAATCAGACTCTGTCTGGGTACAGGGAAAAATTTCTTTATATCGAAAATAAACTATGATTAGATTCTTATTTCATTTCTTATATAAAAACCAATATGAGGTTGATAATGCTTCTGTAGCAATGAAATTCCTAACAAAAGTTCTTATTTATTTTTCACCTAAATATCGTGTAACTCCCATTTTCTCCCAGTGCAACTCTCCGCTATGGCAATTCATTAACGCTCCACATGCGAAAGAAACGCTGCAAGTCCGTCTCGGACTCTGGCTCAAAGAAAAAGTTGCTGTGCCAGTTTCGGGTTTTTTGTCCAACAGTTGCAGCTCGCAGGCTGCGACTCCAACTCCGAGTCATGATTGTCTATCTGGCCGTCTGTCCATCCGTCTGAATGGCCGACTGGACCGGCGTTGGTTTAATTATTTAATTTTGCGCTCATTTGCATGAGGCAAGGCACCCAGTCTCTCCTCGCCTTTCGCAAGTGATTTGCATCCGAGACCGTTTGTGTTTGGATCCGTGCAGTGGAGCGCATTCCCATTCCCACTTCCCCCGGACTGCCCATACACCCACGCCCAGCAGCGATCTATGACCAGTGCCAAGCCAAGTGGAAATGGAAACTGCGGTCGAAACCGAAACTGAACCTCAAGCCAAAGGCGCCCCCTGCAGGCCTCGTTTAAATTTGGCAGTGTTGCACGTTTAATCCGGCGGTTATAAAACACAGAGGAACAGTCATGGACAAGGAAATAGTACAAGGGGAAATATTTGAATCTACAAAAGAAAGAAATGCAAAGATAACTTAAGGAAAACTTATCATTTAAGAAATATTAACTTGGGAGTTTTAAATGGCATCTTTTAAAAAGTAAAATTCAGCTTAAATTAAGCTATTATATCCTCTAATGATGCCACCTTAACTATATATTTCCTACAAGCACTTATCCTCTTTTATATCCTCAGCTGTACTTACCACCTTAGTAAAAGCCGCAGGGCCACTTTAAAAGCGGAAGCCCCACCTAACGCCGAACTGTAACTGTGAACAAAACGCTAAAATTATCCTCCATTAAGCTAAATTCACATTCAAGTTGTAAGCATTTCTTCGTAACAGAATTCATTGGAAAAACAGTTGGCCATGCCCTGGCAAGCATTGCAATTTTTTTACAGCCATTGCAGCCCTCGGCCCAATATGTAAATTTTTCTATAAAAGCGAAACCAAAACAGAGACAACAACAACAACAACAGCATCAACAACGAGAAAAATGTTAGCCCCGAAATAAATTCAAATTTTTTATGAATCAGGGAGAGAGATGTGAGCATGTGGGCGGGGTAGGAGAAGGGGGAGTGCGTGACTGAATAGCAGACTTGGCCAAAGTTTGAGTGAGCTATAGAAAAAGACCACTACACAGTGGGTTTTCCACTGGGAAAAATGGGAGCACAAAAAGGCTTAAATGGTATTTTAATAATTATGTTAGTCCCAGTATAGCATTCAGGATAAACAAAATTAATGCCTGATTAGCAATATAATAATAATAATATTAATCTTTTAGTTGCTTCCAAAAATCTAATCAACTTTTCTTTCCATGCACCTTTCAAGTTGTAACAAAAACATTTGTTTGCATTTTAAAACGCCATATAAAAATCAGATATTTAATGTAAAATATTTTTTCCAAGTGACTTTGCCCACGTTGATGATGATGCTTCTGTTGTGGATGCTGTGGATATTTCTTTGGCTGGTCAGCGCCAAAGCCTGCAGAATGTCTTTCAATATTTTATGCGTGGGCGGAGTGGAGGAAGGCATAACGTAGAGTCGTAGTCGACACACTGACATACACAAGATGTTGAAAAATTAATGAAAATGCCGTACAAAATTGAAAACAATCAAGGCTTAGGCGGATAGACAGAGATGGGGATAAAAAAAAAACTAGAAAGAGAGAGAAGAAAGAAAATGCAGTTGACCAAATATGCGCAAATATTGTGGTTTGAAAAGAGCAACAACAAGGCAAAAGCCGGTAAAGGCAGAAATAAAGCGTGGCAACAAGATGATGTTACTGACGATGATCATTACGATGTTAATAATGAAGATGATGATGGCGATGAAGAAGCCTCTCTGACTAAAAAAAGAAAGACGAGAAGAAGACGACGAAACACAAACAAGCAACTTGAAAACTTGATGTAGGTCAAATATTTTTTTCTTGTGGCTTCCAGTCAACGCCTGCTAAAAAGTGGTAGAAAACGGGCAACTCGGGAGGGGGAGAAAGGGGACTATCTGAAAATGGAAGAGGGTACGGGTTACCAGGGAACTCGTCTTAAATGTCTGCCTTTACATATATGTATTTTTGTGTTGAGTATCGGTGTGAGCGTGTTACTTTCGGTTTATAGGCCAATGCAAGATGGCAAGTTTATGAAGCATATGCAGAAGCCGAGAACACCGAGAAGAAATATATAATATATATATATATAATATAAAGTTGCACCCCCTCACATCTCACACAACGCCCCGGGGCTATGATGAAGTTTCCGACATTGATGAGGCTGCCGGAGCGGAGCTGCCACAATAACCAAAGGAGACAGACAGCTGGCCCAGCTCGGGTTGCTCCTTTAGAGCGTTCTTAATTGCCGAGGCAAACACAAAAACGAAACAAATAATAACCCACCGGGAGAAAAAAAGTTGGTCAACAGCCAGCAACTGCCACAAAACGAAACTTCCGTCAACTCGTTGCAGTCGCTTTTAAAATGGTTGGGGAAACAAAGAAATTGTCCAACCGCAAGCTGATTTTAATAACAGCAATAATTGGTTTTAAGTTCTGGCTGCTCACTTCAGGAACACAGTTTATAAATAATTTCAGGTGGCATTTATGGCATTCCTATGGCCTTAAGTTTAAGATATAAATACGCAGCTTAAATGATTACTCAAAAGGTTTTGAGTTTCAATTTTTATTTGTAAATAAATCTTTTTTGTCTTTAAGTATAATGAGGAAACGAACATAGATTCAAGATGCTCAATGAATTTATCTAAGGAAATTTAATTTTAAAACTTAAAACCAGTTTTTCCCTCTGCAATCCAGCCAAGGAAAAGCTGCTGTCAAAGTTCTTGGCATCTGTTAAAAACGGGCGAAGGCTCAAAACCTATTTACCCGCAGAATGCAACCCTGAGCAGATGAAAAACCCCCGCCCTGATGGCAAACCCACTGAACTCCTGCCAAATTGGACCATGAACGTGATCAATTATTTCCCATTGTTGCTCATTTTTTTCTTCTTACGGCTTGAAATCAATAACATAACAACAAAAGCCAAGTCAAGCGGCTCAAGAGTCAAGGCTGAAAGCGAACTAAACTTGAATCGAGTTGCGTTTGGTATTTGTCTTTATTATCAGAGAGACCACTATGAACTAAGCTTAAATAATAACTGTCCAGAGACCGCAACAAATACACAATTATGAGCATAGCCAAAAGGCTGGAAATGCATACAAAATCACATCAACCAAATATCAATGTCAGTCGTTAATTGTGACTCGACCCAATCGATTGTGTCAAGAGATGTTTGTTAGGCTATAAAAAGATGATGATGATGATGGCGCTGTTGCCTCGTTGACTTGTTGGTTATCGTGGGCATTACCTTCTCTCTATATGTAGTTTGTAGTATGTCTGGTCTGCTGACCCCAGGGGCAATTAGACGAGAGGTGTTATGTGGCCGAAGTACCGTGGACAAATATAGATCGTTTCGCCTCAGATTTTGACTTGGTTCAGTGAGCTGGCACTTTTGTTTTTTTGTATTATTGTCAAGATAATGAAATACTTGAAAAATGAGCTGTTTTTTAGATTCGGTTTTTTATTTTTCACCCTATTGTTCAGTTGGCTTGCAAGTGGCTTCCGCTTTTTAAGTTTGCTTGTTCAGCTTTTCAATTACTTTGGCAAACTTTTTTGTATCGACGGTTTTTCTTGTTTTTTGCTGACCTTTGCTGGGTTTTTTGTTTACAGTTTGGCAAATAAAATGTTCGATCGCTCACGTAAGTAGTAGTTAAATATCGGAGCAAAGATTGTGACTCAAACGGGGAAAAAATGGGGAAATAATAAGAGAGAGGCTGATATTGTGTTACAGATAAACAACACAAAGCTTACCTAAGCTCTGAGACTAAAATAAATACATAAACGCAGGTTTTATTCATTGTAGAGATTAAAAAACTTATAAAAAGAAAATAAAGCGGGTATTATATAAGGAAATAATGCAAGACTTAATGTAAAATCTTTAATATAATATTTATAAAAAGTCATACTTTTGTCAAAGTAAACTACAAGTTAACAAGCTCTAATTTGAGTAAAGTCATGCTGTCTTTTCCTTAACTACCCAAAGAATACAATGGAAGATGGTTTTGCATTTCCCACCGAAAAAAAACATATAATTCGAGTAGAAAGTCGAAACCCTAGATTAGTCCGTTACAAATTTACCATAATTAATTTTTTAAACATCTGTAGTTAAAGGCTGTTCAAGCTGCTCGACTTTCCGCTCTTTCCAGCAATTGAATTAATTCAATGTGAATTTAAGCAAAAAGCCACTAAGTTCAGTTTAGAGAGCTCAAAGGAAATGGCAGACATCAAGCAAAGTGCTGGGACAATGACGCCAAAAAGCTGGCCAA